TGCGTGGGACCAATCCGGTGTTGGTAATTATATTTGTTAAATTAATTAATAATGAAGACTTATAATGTATTTTAAAATATATATATAGGCTGAAAGAGCAAACATTTCTGTACAATATGCGCAGATAGACAACAGGTTAAAAATGAAATTAATGATTCAGATCATTTATAAATGAATAGAAATGCAAATTTAATTCTATCCTTTTTCTATTTATAGTACAACAACAATAACACAAAAAAAAGAAAACAGATAATTGAAAGAACATTATCTCTTTAGAAAAATAGAAGGAAAGAAAAAAAATTGTTTTTTCTTTGTTTTAATCAAAAGATCCTGTAACACATCGAACAACATTTCCTTCAGATACATATGATGTTTTTAGAATTTCTTGTACTGATGTTTGTTTATCATTATCTTCATTTTCATTCGATATATCCGAATTTTTTTCATCTATTTGTTCGTCTTCTATAATATTATTTTCATTTATTGTTATAACATTAGCTTGTTCCATAAGTTGTTTTGGTAATAATATAGTTTCTCCATCTAATGTTTTTCCAACAAGATATGTTGTATTTAATTCTAAACCATCACGATATGTTGTTTCTAATCCAACAATACAATATTTAGAATCTTCAATTAATTTATAATAATTAGAAGTTTTGTTATGTTGAATTTTATTTGAAAATAATGATTTTAAATTTTCAAGACGTTGATTAAGTGTTGAAGTTGGAATATATAATCTTGATTTACAATAATTTTGAAGCTAAATGAAAAAGAAAGAAACAAAATTAAATCTTAATGTAATTTGAAGTAATTTTCATTAATTTTGTTAAATATCGTAAAATATATTTTTTTTTTGCTTTTTATTATATTACATTCATTTGAGCAGGCGAAATGAAAAATAAAAGAAAACAACAGACTATTTTATACTAACGAGAATAGCTTCACTACTTGAAAAAGGCTTTTGACTTCGGACTGTATGTATAAGTTAGACTCCAATGAAATATTAAAAACATTAAAATGATAAGGACGAATAAATCTTCTCTATAGAGTTATAACTGTTTTATTGAAATTTTAGTCCATAGCAAGCTACATAAAAAAAACTCGAACAACGATATTTTAATCTAAAATTTTGTTTAAGGATAGGCCTACTTGTCATGATAATGTCCTGTAAAATTCAGTTCAAAAGAATTTTTCCTTCGCAAGATATTGAATCTCCAAATATTTCGTGGAAGATTCAAGAATCTCATGATTTTCCTAGGAATTCAATATCTTGTGAGAGAAACATTCATTTGACTTGAAACTTTTAGAACATTCTAGTTACACGCAGTTGGAGATATAAGTCAATCGTCTGAGTGATTGCCAACGCTCAAGCGATTCAATCGCGCTGCTGCTTTTGCCCAAAATAGATGCTTGAGATTGCGGTTGACGCCATACAAAAATAGATATTTAATTTTTTTAAATTTCTGACATCCCAAATCAGTTTCTGGAGATGTAACCGTCTAGTTTCTTGTCAATATGTTCTCTACTATCGTTTTCGCTATTTTTTATTTCAAAATGTCTTGAAATTAAATTTTAAGGAAAATCATCGAAAAATTTCAGTCATTGATCAATGTATCGACGACTTACGCCTTTACACGCAGGTCTATCTATAGGCAAAATTTCAAGTCAAAATATTGTCATTTGATTTTTTGGTAGATAATGTGCTATGCACTAAAATTTTAGTAAAATAAGTATGTTTTATAATATCTGATGTAGAGAATCTTGAAGTCAAAAGTGATATTCAAGTTTGAAAATATTCTTTCTTGAGAAGAATTTCTTTTTCTAATGAAATTTACCTGACGAATTTTATTTCGTATTTTTAGACAATTATTTATTTGTGCAATAAGTAATTCAGCATTTTCACGTTGTTCAAGTACATTATCAATACGTTTAATTAAAGGAAGATTTTTATTTATAATTCTTTTTTCTTTCCAATAATTATAAATTGTTCTTGATATATATTCATTATAATCTTGTGGACATTCATCATTTAAATGTGAAGATGAAATAAATATATGAAAATTTTCGTAAGATTTTAATAACCATTCATCTAGTTTAAGTTTTTGACGATGATAAACTGTTAATGGTATTATTGAAGATAAATATGAAGAATCATCTTCAGTATTTTGATTTGATAATGATATTATTGATGAATCAGGTTCAGAACGTTGTCGTGCTTCTTGAGAATGTTTAAGACAATAAACATTAAATTGTGAACGTGATGATGTTGTTCTATCAGATGATGTTTGTTGAACATCAAGAAAATAACCAGCTGAAAGACCACAAGTGACCTTAAAACAAAAAATTTATTATTCAAATTAATTTACATAAATGTTAATATAAAATAATTTTCGAATTTCTATTATTCTAAATAAAGATTATGAGATATATTGTTGTGTATATGATAATTACTATTTCAATATATTCTTAAAAAATCATATCAAATGAAATAATGCAGAGATCTTTGGAATAGAAGTCTTAGAAATTGAGTACAACTAATGATAATATTAATAAAGAAATATAAAATATATCTCTTAGTATTCTCATTGGAATATGAAAAAACTGAATAAACAAAAATCCAGATGGTACATGATAATAAATCTTTAGAGAAAACGTGGGCTTTTGAAGTATACTATATGAAATTAAGTTTGCTTTTTCTGAATAATTATCTAACATGTAGATTTCAGTGTTTTTAACATATTATATAAATCATTCATATCGAAGAATCTCATTGAAAAAAAAGTAGATTTTAAAAGTTGACTAAGTCGACGGAACTGCTCTGTTAAATATGTTAATATCAATGCATGACTCAGATATATGATTAAGACTTAGTCCTATAAATACCAAAAATTCGATATTATATTTATTTGATTGTTTAAAAATGTTAAACATTTAAAAGTATATTCTCTTAAGTTCAATCATTTTTTATTAATAATTTATTAAAACATACATGAAATGGTGTACGACAATTTTTATGTGCACATTGTACACAAGCACCTTCTGATGTTGAACAAACAACACAACGAAGAGTCCAACGTGCATGTGGAATTTTATCTAAATTTAATATTGGTTCCTACAAAAAAAAAAAAAAAAAAGAAAACAAATCATCAATTAAAAATCCTTACTTAGTATTATTGCTTACCATTTTTACATAATCAGCAAATTTTAATTCTGGTAACCAAAGTGCACATGTTAAATGACACCAAATTGTTCCACTTGGTGTACATTTCATTGGACCACCAAGTCTAAAATCATCAAGATAGAACAAATTAAAAAAAAAAAAAAAAGTCTTACTTTGGACAAAGTAGACAAGCAGGTCGTCTTAAAATTGAACATGATTTACAAAGCCATGTACCATTAGGTACAACTGTTATTCCATAACAATTTTGATGTACACATGCATTACAACGTTCACAAAAAACCATTTCATTTCCATCATCAGCATCTGGTAATAAACATATATCACATACAATATCTTCATCTTCACATGATTTTTGTTTAAGATATGAACGAATTTTTTCAGCTGTATAATATTCTAAAATAATGATTGCATTTTCAAATTCTTCTTCAGTTATTATTCGTTCTTCTAGAAATTAAAACAAGAAGAAAAATAAAATAAAATAAAATAAAAACATACGATCAGTTTTCATTTGTTGATTTAATTCTTCAAGAAATTGAAGATCATCATCATCCATATCATAATCAAGTTCATGCATTACAACTTTCATTATTAATTCAGTTGTATCCCTAGAAAGAAGTGTAAAAATCAAAATATTCAAATATATATCCAACCAAGTGTAAATTCATTGTTTTTTGCTCTTACAGTAGATGCTATAAAGAATTTAAATAGAAAAACTTGTTTCGAACAAAGTTATGATGAAATTCAGATTCGTTGATGTATTCTCAAAATTCAGGATTTCTAGAAAACCAGAAACCTTGGTTGTCAGCATCCAGCATTCAATGATACAAGTTTGTTTTGACAACGGATGATAATAGAGTAGAATATTCTCAGCAAAATGAGACATTCTCAAGCTCTCCGAACGTCTTTTAGCTCACGAGAAAATCTCGTCAGGTGTCAAATTACTTTTCGACCGAGACAATGTTCATTTGATGAGTACTAATATCTGCGCCAGAATTAAAGAGAAATGTTTGTGAGCTCTATAACTCGGCAATGGTAACAGTTAGCGATTTGTAGTTTTCAGAAATCCAACGAGGAAAATTTCGGATGTCTTTTTATCTGATAATATATAATACGAAACTATTTTGAAATATATCGATTTCTCAAAATATTCAAAAAATGCATGAAAACGATATTTTGTGCCAAGGAAATTTCGATAAAAAGTCAGAAATTTTGCTAAAACTCAACAAAAGTTATTTTATTATGACTTTTGAGCCTTCAGTAAATTTAGTGTAGCTGAGCCAAAGCATGTCGTACTATTGTGCACAACTGAGATAAAATACTTCTATAAACTAATAAATAAATATTTGCTCTCGTGTAAAAAAAATGTGCCGATCGATACGAATGGAGTTTGATTAATTATTTGAATTGAAATATATTTGTTATTCCTAGTTGTATAACTTATTTTATAGAAAGTTCTTTTCATTTACTACTAACGATGATTAAGGTCGTTTCGGTTAAATTCAATTAA